CAAGACTTCTGCCAGCTCTCTGTAATAGACACTATGAGAATCACTGAAGATATGAAGACACAATCGTAACTTACTCTTCATATTCACAGTTCACACGGTGGTGACCTGAAGAATTGTTGTCTTTTTTTGACTTTTTATATGCTCTGTCCAGCGACTTCCATTTGTTTTCCACTTGTGTGGCAGTCACGTTGCACAAGAACTCCGTATTGATGGCCTCAGCCAACTTCTTCCACAGAAGCCTTCTTGTGCTAAACAAAAAAGCAAAGCACAGTTAGTAGGAAAGAAGGAAGCGACGTAACGTGACCCAAGTCTTGCAGTAGCACATGAACCTTTCCTTAGTACTTCATATGTGTAGCTTTCAGGGATAATTGCTAGGGATGTTCGATTATTCGAAAATTTTGGATAATGAATCAAACAGCACTGTATTCGGTTCCTAAGTCGAATCGAATTGCACATATTCTAAGTAACAAATATTCTTTTAATAATCGGCACTGGCGGGAGAACCCCAAAACAACGAAACAGCTACAAGTCATTCTTTCAATCCCTAATGTGACCTGTACGCAGCCCAAGCTTTTGCAAGACTACCTACACTATATTGATTGTCGAATGAATGCGCTTCTGAAAGCTCCATTCTTGCTCAATTTTTACTGCACTTTAGCTGTATCGCATTTATCAGCTCCTGTCTTCGTCTTGTAATAACCAAAGGTGGGAACTACGAGTGCTTGCAGCTTCACGACTAGCAACAGATACAAGTTTTGCGTTTGCGTAAATTGTTCTTGCAGATGTAAATTTCAACGCCCATTGTTATCCGCTTTTAGTGCGCAGGCCATGTTGTGATGACGGGTTGATCTGCTCCGTTACATATTTAGTTGTATCTGCAATGTTTGGTTGTAAATTGTTTTGTTTTTGTGTCCCAATTTTATTTAAAGTGAGGTGACAAAGTCTCACGTTGATAACGCTAGTCAATGCCGTAGTTGAACCTACAATTACAAAATGTTACGAATATTCTAGTTCCTGCTGCATACGAGATTACCTTAGTTTTCGTAATTGTGGTATTTTGAGTAGATTCAAACTGACTGTAATGGCCTTTGTCGAAAGTTTGTGACTATTTGTTTCAAATAAAATGTTCTGTTCTAAGGCTGTTTTGAAAATGGTCTACTTACTATTCAAACAGTATTCAATTACTATTTGTATTCTATTTGGTGCCATTACTATTTGACTCTTACTTGATTAGGTTCCGAAATTCACTATTCACACACTTCTGATAACTGCGAACGTTCTTTTTGTGCGGGAAGCATTATGTTGGAGAAGTTGAACATTGTGTAAATCACTCTTTTGGATCATAAAGCTTCACTAAGGAGACAGCCATATTCTAACCTGTCTTTGCATTGTAAAACATGCAGCTGCGCAACCTTGTTTGCTGACACGACGGCGCAGTCTAGGTTCAAAGATAGGGTAGCACGTGTCAAGAAGCATATCTCTTTTAACAATGAGCTGCACCATCTTGAAAAGTGGCAGTGCGAGAGAAATGCGGACAGACAGTGAAGACACAAGGACTGCAGGGCGAGACTTGCTAGAGATGTGCCTCAGAATAACAACATGCAATTCCCTCTAGTGCAAATTCTCAAGGCAGCACTACACTTGCAACATGGCTTGAGCTTGGAGGTGCTGCACCTTTTCGGCAAGACAGCGGTTGTGCAATGCCCAACACAAAAGCACCGTCGCTGTTTTTGAAGATCACTTGACTTAATGAAACATTACGAATGCCTTCGTTGTGTATATATGTGCGTGACTATACATACTGTTTGTGTGTATATGTAAACGTATATGTCACAGTCAGGCGCATAGCCAAAATTTTTTTTCAGTGGGGGGGGGCAGTAAAATGTAAATTGCTGGCAGTAAAATGTAGGCAACAATAACCATCGCCATTGTGAACTTCATGCGCCCTTATCTTGTTGGTGCTTGCCTAGAGTGAAACGGAATAATAAAAAGCTGCAAATAATTTTGGACATAGGATGACATACCGAAGTGCCCTGGTTTTTCCCACCAAGTCCTTCATTTCCGAGTATTTGGCGATGAAGAACCTTGTTTTTCGGGCGCTCCAAAGCTCTTCCACATCTTCAGCCGACGCGGCTGCTGCTGGAAATGCGGCTAAAGCCCCATCGCTGTCAACGTCGCCGTCGCAGGCAGGAGAAGGCGTCGGCGGTTGTGCCGGAGGGGGGTCATTTTCACGATTCCCTGCCATGAACCGCAACGTAACGCGCTTGCCGTCTGCAAGGGCGAAAACCAAGATTAAAAATACCGACATAGCATAAGCAATGCTACGAGGCTGTTTGCTGACCGACTACGACTCCTGGCCGCTAACCACGTTTTTTGGCAATGCATGCAGCCTGACTTACCTGATGCCTCATAGACGTAACCGTTGGCGTCCGTCATAAATGACCCGTCGGGATTGTGAAGTGCCTTAACTTCCTTTTGAACGCCCTGAACAACTATTTGCAACGTCGTCTGCTCTGGCCTTGGGGGGACGCCCGCCATGCTGCACTACTCTGCACCTGCTTTGGAGTGCGTGCACGCCGGTACAGAACTCGTCAGGAACTAGGCTTACACCTAGACAAAACGAGGGAGCCAGTGCAGAGGGTGCGACAGAGGGCGCGCGCTGCTCCGGCAAAACGAGGACGAAGGTGCTGCACCCTTTGAACTGGTTCAGCCGGTGCAGCCAAAACGAAGAGACCATATGTAAGAACAAGGGTGACAGAAAAAATTCAACAAAGAAGTACTTTATGCACCACAATAGACAAGGACGAATCAAGTGGTGCAATGGCTCCATTTTCACAACGAGAGTGGGAAAGGGCTGAGAAAAGGGTTCCTAGTAGTACATCAACAGGCCCAGATGGCATTCCAATTATGCTGATAAAGACATTAGGTCCGAAGTCTAAGCAGGCTTTGAGAGAGGCAGTGGGCAAAATGATAATCGATGGTGAAGTTCCCGATGGATGGAAACTTAGCAGGATGAGCATGATCTATAAAGGAAAGGGGGACAAAGTTGACATAAACAACTACCGTCCTATAACAGTGACATCAGTGGTCTACAGGCTGGCGATGCAGATTATAAAGGAAAGACTCCAGGCATGGATAGAGAATGAGAGGGTGCTGGGGGAACTGCAGAATGGGTTTCGGAAACACAGGAGGTTGGAAGACAATCTGTTCTCACTGGCGCAGTGCATCGAAATAGCAGAAAAGGAACACAGGCCCCTGTGGCGTAGCATTTTTGGATATCAAGGGAGCGTACGATAGCGTGGTTCAAGAGAAATTGTGGGGAATACTGGGCACACTAGGCGTGGAACATGTAGTCACTAATCCTTTCAAGGATATCTATAAAGGTAACAAGGTAGTTATAAAGTGGGAAAAACAGGTATCCAAGCCTGCAGAGGTAAAACGGGGGCTTAGGCAGGGGTGTCCCTTGTCACCCTTACTATTCATGATGTACCCACAAGTATTAGAGGCCAAATTAGAGGGGAGTGGACTTGGCTTCAACCTCTCTTTAGTCAAACAAGGAAAACTCATCGATCAGGCACTACCACCATTAATGTACGCAGATGATATAGTGCTAATGGCCGACCACAAGAAAGATTTGCAGAGATTGATGGACATCTGCGGTAATGAGGGAGATAGGTTAGATTTTAGATTCAGTGAGGAAAAATCAGCAGTCATGATTTTCAATGACAACGAAGGTAGTGAGCTTAGAATACAGGAGGTCACTAGAGATAACAGATAAATACAAATATCTGGGCGTATGGATAAGCAATGGGACCGAGTACCTGAAGGAACACGAAATATACGTGACGACTAAAGGTAACAGGAATGCAGCAGTGATGAAAAATAGGGCACTGTGGAATTACAATAGGTATGATGTTTTGAGAGGAATATGGAAAAGGGTCATGGTTCCTGGGCTGACGTTCGGCAATGCGGTCTTGTGCATGAGATCAGAAATTCAAGCAAGATTAGAAATTAAGCAACGTGGGATAGGTAGGCTTGCTTTAGGAGCTCACGGGAATACACCAAATCAGGGAGTACAAGGTGATATGGGATGGACATCATTTAAGGGCAGGGAAGCTAGCAGCAAGATAAAATTTGAGAAGCGATTGAGAGAAATGGGGGAGTTGCGTTGGGCTAGGAAGGTTTTCAGCTACTTGTACATGAAGAATATCGATACAAAATGGAGGAAGCGAACCAGGAAATTGACTGGTAAATACTTAGAAAACAGCAGGTGGCCAAACCAAAGAGAACTATCGGTTAAGAAGAAAGTGAAGGAAACGGGAGTATTGCGAACCAAGACATATCGGCCAAATACGAAGGGGTAGACAAAGTATGCAGTGCGTGCGGAGAGGAAGAAGAAACCGCCGAACACTTGATAATGTTCTGTAAAGGGCTTCACCCTATAGTTCAGGATGATGGCGCAGAGTTTTTCAAAGCACTGAGGTTTAGACGGCTATGCTTAAAACGATAACACATTACAGACTACCGTTTGCAGCGCCACAAGCAGATTGACCCTGTTTGGGTTTCAATTTTTGGAGCTTGGTCCGCGCACTCTCCTTATTCTAGTACACTCTACCATGAGTGTACAAGTGCCATAGTGGATGCCTCGTTATCAACATCATCAAGTATTGCTCGAGAAATAGAAAAAAAAATGGCTTTTAATTGCTTATCTCAGAGGCTGTGCATAAACAATTATCACGTTAGGCCTAGAATTAGGTTTAACGTGGCAGCCTGCCTGACGCCCCTGAAAGGTCTGTAAGCATTTTTTTCATCGCTCTTCAAACGTCTCAACACATATATTATCAGGTTCAGACTTGTCAACCTTGTTTTGAGTCCGGTTAGTTAACATTTCATTTACTTTTAGTTTGATTTTACTCTTACGTCAAGAATGGGCAGGTTCGGTCCGCCGATGTGGTCAAGCGCACCATGACGTCACGAATCACCGTTTCTTGCGTAACTGAAAGTGCTCCGTCGAATCGTACATATCCAAGGCGTTCAAGGATCGGAGTGGATCGGACGCAGGCATGTTTTCTGTCGTGTGCGTGCGTTGAATGGAACGACTGTTCTTAGTGGTACGCCATTCAAACCCTAAAGTGGTGTAGAAATCAGCACGAATGTGTACTGGCTTTAAAATGCTGTGATGTTTCGGAGGCCGAACAGCGAGCGCACAGTTCCCGTGTCATCCCGGATGCCCGGCGTAGACTGCACGCCGAGTACAACAGGTCTCGTGGCCATTTGCTGACCGTGCCTGCATTCAAGTTTAAAGAACAAGCTGTCTGCAACACTTCTTTCTGTCCAGCCATCAGGTTAGCGCTTTTCTCGTTACACAAAGTTTAAATCTCTCGTACTCCACTTGTACAGACACCGTACGATTCCATGCCCGTGTTTGTAGTGATAGTCCGCTACATAAAATTGCTATATATGTGCATTCCTTAAGATTCTAAATACAACTTTTAATACAAAGCTGCGGCGATGCTTTTTGTGCTAGACGCGCAAAAATAAATCGTAGCTGGTTGCAAGAAAATCTTTGCCGCCAACTGTAGTGTCACAACATCTGGTGGCTGGAATTATGATTGAAACTCGCGTGTGGCTTGTTGTTCAACGCTTGAGGTCACCATACCAGGAAAGCGACTTACTTTCTGCTGTGATCGGACCCGTACACTGAGTTGAATTCTCTCAGCTTTGGTTGACGTTAATAAAGGCTGTGTTGTCACTGTGACGTGAGATAGCCAGTAGTACATCTTCCCCGAGTGACAGCCCACGGCAAAGTATGACCATAAGCTGCAGGGTACAGCATGCCATTTTCGAAGATGTTAACTTATGGAATTAAACATACTGGAAAAATGGGCACAAAGGGATGAAGAGCATCCGAATTATGATGCACTAATTATCTGAATTCTGATGCACTGTCGACAGATGCATCAACTTCGCATAACCCATTTTAAAGGCACTCACGATTACAGTCCAAGAAAAAAAAAGAAAGGAAGTAATGTGTTGTTTTGTGCGAGTCTCCGCAATTAATTGTAATTTGTACTTAAGCAAGTATGTCATCATTCTGCTGTCAGTCATCTTTCATTTTGATGTCAAATGAATGAAATCATGTGCTCTTGATCTGTGTGCAAATTGTCTTTCGTTACATTAACTTTGAGAAGAGAAAAGTAGCGCTTTTGACTATACTTTTGGAATGCGGTGCATCTAACATTGTAGTGCCTTCACCAATGTGATCAGCTACAGTCATACACAGTAGACTGAGGTTAAGTCAAGTCATATGAACCATGTAAAAAGTTGAATTCGTCCAATGAGGAATGAATCTTGCTCTCTTTTGGCCACAAGTTGACACAGATAGCATGAACCAGTTGCGTGTACAAAGTCACCACTGCTGAAAGGGATGAGCTGCAGAGTATAGCATGCCGTTTTCAAAGGTGACATTTTTGAACATATTTGAAAATTGAGCATGAAGGGAGGAAGGTAGGCAATGGGGTAAATCATGGAGGGACCTGGAAGAAAGCTGTAGGATTGGGGGTGTTGGTACAGCATGATTTATTGTGCAAATCAGGGCAACCAAACAGAAAGGAGGACACAGAGTGCTAAGCTTCCAACAATTTATTTCTTTGGAAAGCTTTTGCTTTTCATACAGTTATACACTTATACACAGCCATGCAGGCAATACAATGACGTTAATCTCGTGGACAAAACCCCAAGTACAGTCATCAGCAAACTTTACACAGACACTTCATCATGTGTCCTGAAACAATTTGATTGATGATATTGCTGTGTAGCTCCGGATTCTGTTGCCGAGATGCTACCCTACATGCCCACATACTATCCAAGCATACTGAGGTATTATCTTGGCAACAGCGACCAGTGCTTCTAGGCTGGCATCATTTAAGGTAGTCCAGGTTATGCTCTGAAGCGTTCATGTTAAGCTTGCTGACAACTACGTCTTTTGTTGATCAAGGATCGAGCATGATAGAGGTTTTACTTGCACAATCAGCTTTTCCTGTCTCGTTAATTTTGTGTGTAGTGCGCTCTCTATGTTTTTCAGCAATACTACAATCTTAATACCTTGGCCTACACCCACACATGCTACAGTGAGCAAATAATCACCATTTTTTTTTACTAATCAACATTACACAGATGTTCTTTCAACCTATCATTTAAACAATGGCTCATTTGCCCATGGATATTTCCCACTTTACAGGGGCAGCTGGTAAACTACATCACAAGGATAATCTTAATTTATTTGCAGGGCTAGTTGTACACCTACGATTGGATCTGGATGCTGGGACAGACATTTTGCACAAACTGCTCAGTTTCACAGTGAGAGCTGTTATGAGATTGCAACAAGGGCCCATCTTGGCACTGTAGTTATTCACTGCCAATGTCTTTAAGCACAATTGTGGGAAATGAGAGAAAGACAAAGTTAGCAAAAGATGCTGAGGAGGGATTGGGATCTGAATTCGGCCTCCCTATGTGGCAGCCTAGTATTCTACAGAACACTGAGCTACACCAGTGCTTGAAACTCTGTTGCAAACTGACCCTATGCAGGTTTCATCTTGGGCATGGAATCGTGTTAATATTTTTAAATAAAGCATTTTAGAGCAGTAATGTAATGACTAGGTGTCACACAATGAAAAATGCATAAGGAGTGTGTCGTTGAATGATCGAGCTCGTTACTGAAGTCTCAGCAAGTTCCTCATCATCATCAGTCTCAGCATTGTCAGAGGGCACATAATGCCTTACAAGTGTAGAGTAGATACCATGCTCCTCCATGGAATGATGAATGACATAGTGAGCGCTATCCCAAGACACAAAAGTTATGAATTAAGGCAAAGTGGGTACCATGCAAGTGTGCTTGTAGTAGATGTATAAAAGATTAAGAAAGGCCGCTCTTCCAGCTTTCACTGTGAGTCTGTTCCGTGTTCTCCACAGGCTTGGTGTTTTTTTGTAGGGCCGAGAAGAGCACTTCGACATTCACTCACTGCTCTACTTTTTAAATTTTCTCTGCTTACACTCATCGTGCAAAAAATTGTGGTTGGCCAAGAGAAAAAACACCAACGTGTTGTGTTTTTCTCTAATGTAACAGTGACGTTCGGTATGCTGCGAGTAGGCGACCTTAGCCCAAGTTTGGCATACGATCAGTCACGCTCTTTCAACCGACACCACTTCCTTTGGTTCTGCTTTCACCGTTTAATAGTATAGCTACCACAGGCACCATTACAACTAGGGCATGTTTAATCATTAATCAGTCATTAATTATTGACACTAGTATCGGGATGAAGATGTATCAGTAAGGGTAAATGTGGATGTATTTACAAAAAACGGTGCTTTAGCAATCAAACCCCAACCGGCAATGTATCATCTCCCACGCAATCCTGTGCTTTCTGCTGCCACTTTATATCTGCAAACTTCCTGATCTCATCTGCCCACCTAACTTTACTTTTCTCCCTCACCCGCTCGCCTTCTCTGGGAATGCATTCAGTTACTCTTAATGACCACCTGTTATCCTGCTTATACGCTATGTGCCTGACCCATGTCAGAAACTTGGAGACTTAGAAAGTGGGTTAGAAAGTGGGTTAGAAAGTGGGTTCAACTTAAATTGAGGAGGATGCAGCAAGCGATGGAAAGAAAAATGATAGGTGTAACCTTAAGAGACATGAAGATTGCAGAGTGGGTCAGGGAACAAACCGGGGTTAAAGATATCATAGTGGAAAACAACACGTTGTATAAGCTCTTCTATATCGATGTACAACGAGCACAAAACTACTTCTGTAAAAAGACTTTTTACTTTTGCGTTATACCGATTCCTATGATGTATGGATCAACCATTTCTTTTTTTTTTGTAAAAAATACACACATATATATGCGTGTTCGTACAAAAACAATGCCTGCACAGAAACATGTTCACATCAATGATGGTCAGACAATGCATGCTCAATAAACTTTTTCTCATGTTTATACAGCTCTACGGAAATGTATGCTTCGTAGGTTCTCTGTCTGTTCTAGTTTATTGAGCACCTGTTATCTGGCCATCATTAATATAAGAATGTATCCGCTCATGCGCTGAGAAAAATACATGTGTATGTGTGCTTCTGTAAATAAATCAGTTGTTCGTGGTGTTCTGTCTCGTGCCCTTTCTTGTGGTTGTTTCTGTTTTTTTTTCATGCCTTAAGATCAACTCTAAACAAGAAATGAATGGCACAATCGCCTATCTGCAGGTAAACTTATATGGAAGCGAACTAAACCTGTATTCGCAAAATACTTGTGTAGATAAGCATACTGACCGGAGTGCTGCTTTAAAAAGAAAAACTTTATTTCTTTATTCGTTTATTTTTATGTACTGTGGGCCAACTTGGCCTTAGCAGGAGGTGTAGTACACATACAAAAAGGTAAAGAAGTAATAAATGAATAAAGAAATAAAGTAAAAGGATTGCTTAGTACACATAATTGTGCAATGAAAAACTAAAATGCTACAGTAAAGGTTCAACAACAGAAGATAATAGTTACATAATTTCTTTTGCTCATGTCCCCTTCAGGTGCAAATTAAGATACACTGTCTACTAATGTGTTGAATTTGCATATGATTATTTCAAGGTACTTAATATTACATTCCAAGTAAGAAAATAAAGTAATTAGTGGCTTCATGTGAGTTTCTATTTAAGTTGCTATTAGCATGAAATTAAATGTTTCATTCTACTGTCAACCATGTCCCATTTTGACATAGAAAGAGGGTAATCATAGGCATAAGCATGCGCGATCCTCTTCAGGGGTGCGAAGGTACGTCACAGTGCTCCTCCTCCCTATCATGTTAATGTATGGAGCTGACTCCTCCTGCCCTTCTACCTATTATGTCAATACATGTGGCTGGATTTGTGCCTCCCCACCCCCACCTGTGCGCATGCTTATAATCATAGACTCCAAATGTGTGTGCAATTAGCTTTTTGCATTCATTTAGAGGAAAGAAGTCATTAATACTTTCACATTGGCTGTGCAATGAGGCATGTCAAACGACCCGTCAAGTATCGTAGTGCCTTCGACAAAGTGGTTGGCTGCAGTTGCACCAGGCCCGTATTGAGAGGGGGCTACCACCTCCTCTTTGAAATTCAAAGGGAGGGGGTGTTTTAACAAGCAAAAATAATAAATAATGGCATTCTTCAAGTGCCCCCTCTTCCCTCACCCCTCGAAAAAAAAAAAAATTCTGGCTGCAGGCCTGAGTTACATGCAGCACTCTCAGTTTAAAGGGATAGGGTAAGCCAAAATATTAAAAAAAATCATTTTTTTGCATTATTTGAAACCTGCAGCTTTT